TACAGCTTGCACGGACGGACGGACAGACGGACGGACGGACAGACAGACATCCGGATTTCAACTCTACTCGTCACCCTGATCACTTTGGTATACATAACCCTATATCTAACTCTTTTAGCTTTAGGACTTACAAACAACCGTTATGTGAACAAAACTATAATACTCTCTTTAGCAACTTTGTTGCGAAAGTATAAAAATTGCACATCCAGACCTAGAAAATGCTTAGGCGGCGCACTATTTTAAAACAAGCATTAAAAATCTTAGTTTCTACGCGCATATTTAGTTCTCTTGTTCACCTGTTATTGAATTCTGTGTTCTTATACCATGGAGAATATATGCTCTCGCAAAAAAAAAAAAAAGAAAAACAGGCACCAAGGTCTTATTCAACATCAATAAGGTTACAAATTATGTCTAATAGCACTCATTTCACTTGTAATAAGTTCTCATCTCAATTATTTAACTAAAAAATTGTGAAAGTTTAGAGGTGCTCTAATCACTGCACATTTATTAATATTATTAAATTAAAATCCAACAACAGATATCAAAATAATTCATATATAGATAAATTTGAAAACGTTAGTATTTAGTTAGCTGTATTTTTTGTGCAGAGTTTTTTTTAACTAGACTTTTTCTTATAAAATATTTATAATACCTACCACGCTCCTTCGCCCATTGCTGCTTTTTTAAGTCCAACAGTGTGTGCGTTTGCCTACCCTCGGCGCCAGTTATCATAACGATTAGGAATTGCAAGCAATCAGACAATTAAACAGCTAGCTCAATTTAGCTTTACAGCGAGAAAATTTATAAAATTTATAAATACTTTAAATCTGCAGACATAGCTCCGCACAATGCCAGATCATTTGGCAACTTATCCACAAAACAAAAATTAGCTATATTTTTTATTTAGCGCAGAGTTTATCAGAAACGCTTTTCAATAGTTCCATTATGAAATTTTTTTCAAACACACACTTCTCAGCACTTTAGTATACTCTTCTGTACTAAATGCAACACTTCCTGTAATTTTTCCATAATTGACTGGAAATTCCTAATCGCCGCCAAAAATATTAGCTGCCGCGTGCCAACGCTTACACATTGAACTAACAAAATCTTCCGTGTTTCGTGCGAATTCCTGCAGTGCCATGTCAACCCAACAACAAACTCAACAAGCGCCTGCAATCAATCGACCGCGCCATGCGTTCGATAACAAGCGCTCGGCAAGCGACGGGAGCATTCGTGTCACACTTTTTATTTTGTCTTGTTCCATAGCTTTCGCGTTAGCCTTCGTTGCCGCGTCGGCATAGTTTCCTGTTATTGCTTCACCTCGTTTTCTGCTTTGTGTTGGAATGTTTGCGTTGCCACCGGCAACCGGGGCAATCAACCGGCAAATGGGGGTGGTAAACAATGGAACAATTTGTGGTGTTTGCGGAATGAGTTAGAAGTATGAAGTTATTAGGTATGCAATTATTACTTCTGTACTATTATGTATAAACATGTACCATTATATATATGAATACGTAATTACTACTTGTTCACCTATAAATGCAAGTTGAAGGAGTTGCAGCGGATAACAGAGGTGCCTTTGAACAAGAAGTTTGCAGTTCTAAACAAGTATTATATTTTAGTCAAACTTAAATTATACTTAACTGAATGTATCATAAAATTACTTCAGAAGAAATTGACAAACTTTTAGAATTTAAGGTCTACTTAAAATAACCTCTGTGACTTACGTATGAACTCTAGTCAGATTAGCAGACTTTGTGAATCTAATTGGATCTATTTGTTTAAGGAATTCAGCTTTATCTTTGTACAACTTAGTCAGCGCATGGCTCAAAGCAATACGCTGCGAGGAAACTGCTGAAATAAATATATAAATTATAGTATTTCCTAAAGAAAAACTTAGCTGGATATCTCTTAAGGTCTTAAGGGGAGCTGTCTCGTCTACCAAGCAAACCATTCCACTCTGCACATAGCCTTATCTACATGCTCCTTCTAAACGTTAACTTGCTTCTAGTTCTACATAACTATCTGTCTATTGCTTATAACGACTAATAAAAACGGTAATAACGCTGCATAAATTTTGTTAGTCTACCGCAAACTAATGGCTTAACTCCCTGTGGAAGCATTTCATTCATAAATTGCGTGTTCTTTTCAATTTATACGACCATTTAACTTACTTTTGAAACGTGTATTGTCTGTACATGTAATGCTATTTGCATTTTTTTTTTTTTTTTTTTTTTTTTTTTTTTTTTTTTTTTTTTTTTTTTTTTTTTTTTTTTTTTTTTTTTTTTGTGATTATTTGTCACATTTTGTTGGCTTAGAAATATACGTTGTAGAAGATTTTGGAACAAGCTAGTTTAAGTTGTTTAGTATGTTTTATTTATAGATATCGATTTTGATTCACTTCAGCTTCAATTCTTTTTATGTAGCTGCATGGATGTGGTGTTTCAGAGCCATTTTTCTTCAATGAATAGGTTGTTTCTTACATAAGCATTAGTTCATATTCAATTATTGATTGAAGCCCCGGAAGATGCCCGAAACACACATTTTTTTGGCAAACATTTTTATTTTATTTTTTCTAATCAACATATGTATGTAGTTGCTTTCAGAGGTGATACACTGATTATATATACAATTTTTCAATATTACATTTTTGTTGTACAATTTGCGCTTTGCTTCAAAATAGGCCTCAAGTTTGGTCTTCACCTTATCATACCGCGATTATTTGTTTCCAGCGACCATATTATTGATATTTGAAAACAGAAAATAGTCGCTACAGATCTGGAGAATAAGGTGAATATGGATATATTCAATTCGAAGTCCAATTCATGCGTTCTTGCACAGCTTTCACTGAGTCGTGTCTTGGTGGAACCGCAGCTGTCGTTTTTTTAAATACAGGCGTTTTTGTAAAGTTTGTCTTTCACATATCCACGCAAGAACGCCGAATCTTCTTCTTTATTGGCGTCAGTACCACCTACGAGGTCATAGCCGAGTTTAAAATATCGCGCCAGTCGTTCTTCCTTTTCGCTGCTTGGCGCCAATTGGATATTCCAAGCGTAGCCAGGTCCTTCCCCACCTTTTTTTTCCAACGTAGTGGAGGTTTCTCCTTCCTCTGCTTCCGCCGGTGGGCTCTGCGTAGAATACTTTCAGTGCTGAAGTGTCGTTCATTCGGCCGATATGTCCCAACCAGCGGTGCCGTTGTCTCTTAATTCGCTGAAATACAGGGTTTGTGCGGATAGCAATAGGACTGATTTTCTTCCGTGGCGTATGTACATCGGAGCGTACGTGCACTGACTGTATTCGGGTTTGGTAGAGGGCGTTCCTAGCTAACGAACTAGCGGTTGATCAGTTGTCTTCGAGCACCTGGACTGTTAGGACAAACATTTTCGCTCGAAGTGTTTCTGTGAGTGGTGCACGTCTAAAATGCAGAGTTCGGTAGAGAAGAAGAATGCGATTCAATGCTGTGTGAAACTCGGAAAATCTACGACAGAGACGTTTGATATGATCAAGCAGGCTTACCGAGATATTTTTTTACATAGCAAGAAGTGTTGTGCTCGGTGGCACCACGTCTTTTGGAGAGCCGGAAAGAGGCCGCGGTCTTCATCGTGCTGGGAGGCCTACGATTTCTACAAACACCGACAATGTTTTGAACGCAGACCGTCGTCTAAGTATTCGTGTAATTGCCCAGATGTTAAATTTATCAAAATTTGAAGTACATAACTTTATGGTGGAGCACAACGACAACGCCCCGGCTCACACCGCCTTTCTTGTGAACAGCTACCTAACCAAGRCCGGCATCCCAATGCTTCCGCAGCCGCCCTACAGCTCAGATGTCGCCCCCAGGATTTGTCTGTTTCTTTGCCTGAAAAGTCCGATAAAAGTGAAGCATTTTGAGACGGCAGAGGGGATAGAAGCAGCAGCTTTCAAGGCTATTCCTGAGAGAATGACTTCCGTGCCGCCTTCCATGCTTGGACATCACGCTGTCACCTTAAATATTGTAACGACTGGTTCAATACGTTTTTGTTTCTTTCTCTCGGAGAACTCAGATGTTGTTGCTGGTGTTAGTGATAGTTTCAAGATAGACGAAATTTTCTACGACTTCGAAGTTATGACTGTCAAGAGTGACGTGGGAGCCAAGTGCAACAAGAAATATTTTGTCTTGCTCTCGTTCACTACCAGACCTATAAAAATAATAAGCGAAGCAAATTTTTCCAACCATACGAACTGATACAATAAAAGCAAGTTCTAGTTTTGAAATTTTGTAACCTTAGTAAATGAATCAACACCATTACCTAACCAACAATAGCTCTTTATGGGCAATAACTTTCCATTCTGAATATAAAAAGTAGCATCTTTTTTACTTGGTCTGCAAACTTCGCGTATGATAAGCGACAATATACCAGTCTTATGCATCGCTGCGTAGAAAAGGCTTCAGTTTCACTTTTCGAATTCAATACAAGCTGACGTTGCGAAAAATTTATAGGAAATATTTATATAAAACTCATTCAAGGTTAGGCCTCCCAATAGGCCACACTCAATTAAGGGCGTACTTTGTTTTGATTTGTTAAACAAGCTGCGTTCATAATTAGTTTAGCAAAAAAACAGCGATATTAGCAATCATTTCGCTTCATTACCGAAACGAAGCTTTTCTAAAAATTAATTGCTACAACCACCTTCTTCTACGATATCTTCCGCTAAAAGACCATAAATACAGTTTGCATACGAAATTATTTGATTGATTGCTGCAATCAGTTTCCACTAGATGTTTGAAATTCAAGACGCACACACGAAAAAACAGCATATAGTTAATAAATAAAACATGGAAATAAAATCAAACTACGACGAAATTAGCAACACCCAAAAATAGTAAAATATGCGAAAAATTGAAAACTGGCAAGCGCAAAAAAAGCGTACGAACTAGCCAAACTAGATAACGGGTACACAACATGCGGAAAAATTAAACACAATTTGATGGACAGCAGAGCTAGACATAGTAAATTGTTGTACAGGTATACACATATGTATTAGGGTGGTACTAATTTTTTTTAAATTAAATTATTTTTTAAATCGTTTCTTAAATTTATTCAGTGCCTCTTTCGAAATACAAAAATGCGTTCAATATTACAACACATTAGGGTGACACTAAAAATATATAATATTATATTTAATGAAATTTTAGCTTGTTTTCTCTTTTTTGTAATTGATTCAAAATGTGAAATGAATTACAGAAAAAAACGCATTAGGGTGGACTTGAAAACAGTTTTTGTAAAAGAATTTTAAAATTGAAACTTTTCTGTACTTTCATGTTACTTATTCGAATGATACAATTTATTTGAAAATATATTTCGAGCATTTAAAGATTTCCAAAAATATAAAATTTTCAATATTTCAGTTTTTCTTTGTCACTTTTACGAGTTGTAAGATAAGTCTAAAAAATTTAGTAAATAAGGGTGGTTATCTCTTAGTACCACCTCAAATTTTTCTACGCTTTCAGACATGACAACTTCGATCTCCAATCGGAGATTTTAAAAATAAAAAAATAGTTTGGCAAAATTGGAGCAAGATCAGTTGTGCCACAATTATTAATATCAAAATATATTCTAGTTAAAAATCTGTGCTCTTTGTGCTCTTTCAGACGGCTAAAAACAGCTGAGTTAAAAAAAATATCTAAAAAATCCTATACAAAATTTTAGAGCCACCCTAATACGCAAACCAGTCATTTAGACATTTGTGTT